GTCCACTGAGGTATGCTCCTCCAATCATTACGCTGTGGCTTCTCCTCATTTTTCTGCACCTATTGCCTTTGCTCATGCTCCAACTCAGGGAGCTAGCTTGCTCTCTTCTCATACAGAGTCTTCCCATGTGTCCCCTCATGCCACTGGTCCAATTTCCCTTCCCATTTCCTCACCTGATGCAGGCTCCCCTCCTTCCCCACCTTCTGTGTCTCTTCATGCTTCTAACAAGGCTTCCAAACCTACTGCTCCTAAGACAATTGCTCATGTTTCTACATCGTCCACTCCCCATTTCACCAACCCCCACTCTGCTCCAATGACACAGTACCATGTAGAGTCAAGTCATCAGTCCTACCCACTGACCCAGCGCAAGGTTCTGCAAGACTTGGGCTCTGGTCAGTACTTTCTGGTAGACGTGCCTGTTCAAGTGAAAACGAAAACTTTCTTTGACCCTGAAACAGGAAAGTATGTCCAGCTGAATGTGCGACAGTCAGGTCAGAACATTTCACGCACTCAGCCCCAGCAGACCTTCCCTCAGGCTCAATTCCAGCCCCAGATGCAGATCAAGTCTCAACAGCAGCCACTCTCACAGGCATCTTTCGCTGCCAAGCCTTTTGTGTTTTACCAAGGCTACCACAGTTGTCCCCAAAGCTACCAGCCAGCTGTTATCAACTCTGTGCACCCCAACAGGTCATCTGGTCATCTCCAACATCGTCCAGGAGAGAGCAACACTTCGACTGAAGGACAGCAGAGCTCTGAGGGCCACCAGTACAGCCCAGAGAAGACAAACTACATGGACACAGTTAATGATATTAAAAGGACATACAACGTGGTAAATAACACACAGGACTCAAACGACTCACTTTCAGAGTGTAACTCCAACAATCAGCTCACGGAAAGTTCAGTTTGTGAAAAAGATAACGCCACTAATTCTCTGTATCAACCCCGGGACATTATAACCATGAGTGAACTGGAGGATTTCATGGAGACATCAGACTGGTGAGAACAAAAACAAAAATAAATACTTTATGAAAAACTATTTCATCAAGTGTTTATACCCCCAAACACACTGTATGGAAAAATACGTGAACTATGTTAAGTCCTTCTCAGACTTGTCCCAGAGGCGTGCTTTAAATTGATGCTGCTGCATTTAATTTTATTTTTTGCTGTTGGATTTATTGTTTTATTGTTTTCACCATTCCATTTGACTTTTGAATGTGGCTAAGACATGTCTACTAAGTTAACAGTATTACGAGGCTGCTGTTGCTTATTGTACTTGGACATCAATACATTAAGAAGCAATATCCTCCAATTCAAAACTGCTTCGGTGCTTCAAAAAACTTCTGTGCTGAACACTGACAGGGCTGTTGAAGCTTCCTTTTTTCTTGATTGTGAAAGCCTTTACTGGCCTTATGTGATGCATGACATACTAAACCTCAAGTATGAAGTATTTAACATGTAAAGCATAGTTTGCAAGTTCAGCAACAGTGTAAAAATGAGCACATGGTGGGGTAATTGTTGCTGTTCTTATGGTTTAGTTTCATGCAACAGTCCATTTTTTATTGGACACTTCACTGTTTGTGCGACGCTATGAAAGTAGCATAACAAACTTATTCACACAATATAAACCACACTGCATTCATCTCTTTTCATTTGAATGTCTCAAATATTTAAGGTTGTCAGTAAAAATAAAAAAATAAAAATTGCTGCAAATCTTTGATTTTACTTTAAGCATTTAAAGCAATGATTACATCAACTCAATCATTGAAAGTGTAAGGATACTTTGTGAAATGTGAATATCAAAATATGAGCATTAAATAAACTACAATTTTAAAGACAAAATGTGTGATTTGAGGCGTATTAATGGCTTTTTAAAATACATGCTTGTGCTGACCCCATGTGCGATGAATAATGTAATTTAAAAGTATTGGTTAAGTTAATGGCAGGTAATTTTCATCAGCTCATTAACTTAATGTGATGTAAAAACATCTTACCCAGCCGGAGTCTTGGGGAAGGATTCACCACTCTGTGGAAAAAATGTACAAGTCAGTAGTTTTTTTTTATTTTTTTAACATGTTCCTCAAGGTAATATTTCATAGATTATGGGGAGTTCATTATTTACAGTGGAGTAACGTCAGTAAAATAATTTCAGGGAATTCTTAGTGCACCAAGGAAAGGCTGAAACCAATATTGCAGTGTTTGACGACCCTCTGCCTTGCACACACAACAAATTAAATAAATGGGTCAGCTCATCAGTTTGGCACTGGGCTCTGAAGAAATGTGATGACTTTTTGATTCCAGTTTAGTTTATTATAGCGTACACATTCATGAGACAAGAAGCTCTGGGTCAGGACTGGAAAATGGTTAACATGCATAAGCTGGAGCGCACTCTGGACAGGTTTCCACGCACTTATTCTTTTAAATATTTACACAGAGTGCCAACTTTTTGGGAATAAGAGTGTATAAATAATGATACAGTATACATTTTTGACTCATGAAATTTAACCCTAACACGAATATCTTAACTCATTAACCTGCAAAAGTTCATCTAAAGGCGCAAGAAATAGAAAAATACATTTTGTTCAAGACTTTATTTTTGCATCAACTTCTGTTGCATCAAACAAGTTTGAATGCTGTTTGAAAGACTTGATTTTATTTATTTTTATCCTCAATTATATATAAATGAAGACAGAATGGTAGTTTTTTGTCTTATTGAAAAAAAAACAGAACGTAATATAACAAGGCATACAACAACAACAAAAAACAAGTTCACATTTGACATGATAAAAACTAAGCAGAAATTATGAATAGAAATGTGATAAAGAAAGAAAATGAACAATTTGAGGACAAACAGCAAACCAAAAAATGTTACAAGTGCAAGAGGAGTTTCAAGTCTTACAATAAACTATTAATATACTGGTATAAAGATTGGGCTTTTGGAAGGTTGCAGCATTTAAGCACTTCCTTAAATAAAATGATTTCACTTTAAAAAATGTTGAACATGTGGGTAATTTTCAGGAAACGGCATTTGTGGATAAAGAAAAATTAGCCATAAGGATTACATTGTTGTTACCATAATTTAAAACTTAATCCCCTGTTAACAGTCCAAATTTTATTATAGTAAAATTTAAAGGTGGAATAGAATTCTTAGATACGAACCAATTCTGAAAATCTTTCCGCAAAGCATTAATGAAGATGCTATCTGAATTTCAGAACGCACATGAATTGGTATTTATATTACATTTCTTTTGCAGAAAGTCCTTACAAGGATACATTTCACACATATTTTTTAAATTAATTTATTTAGTTTTTTGTGGGAGTGGATAGGAAAGGTATTTGGTTTTGATTTATTTATTTTTTTAATTTAGAGATATTATCATAATTTTTAAACAAATGTTTTTCTTCTCAGTGTACAGGGGAAAATAATTGAGGTCAGAGTATTCCTTATGAATTTATTATTAATTTTTCTGTCTATAAAGTCATAACCATTTATAATCAAAGATGGTTTCTTTGGAGTAACATTTGAATATGTAATCATACCTTTAACCATCTGAATCAAAGCAGGAGGAATTGACATTAACACTCATTCAAATTTAGTTTTAAGACAACTTAATGTGTTTTTTTTTTTTTTTTATAAAATCACCATATGCTAAAAGGTTGCCATTTTCTTTCATAAAGTGTGGAACAGACCAAACACCTTTCTCCAACCAATATTTGTAGAAGAACGATTTTCGTTTTATCAGGATGCATCTGCTGTTCCAAATCGGGACCGAATGTGGGGAAAAATTGTGTTTAAAGATAAGTTTCCAATATTGCAGAACCTGTTTATGAAAGTCTGATCATTTTATTGGTCTCCTGATGCATGCTCAATAATCCAGGTAGAAAAATCCAAAAAATTTCAATCTGGTCCTCTGGACATTTTTTTTTTTTTGAATGTCGAGGACCAGATTGAACTTTTTTGGATTTTATTGGTCATTTAGAAATTTCAAAGTCGCAACTTAACAGAAAACTAATCCCACCAAACGCTTCAAAAATCTTACGAGGAAAAATATACCAGAAGCTTTCATAGTTTTTAACAAAATTTTGCAACCATGGTTGAATCCAGAATGGTAGTTCTGTACCTCCTCAGTTCATTGTGTTGTTGATCCCTGCAGCAGTAACCTGCTTTGACCACTGCAGGGCAGAGGAGAGTGGTTCCTCCTCTGGTCAAAGTCTTGAACTTCAAGGAGAACAACATGACAGGAACCCCAAAATAAACATTATTTTTTGATATTTAAATATGACCCTCAACTTATAAACTTCTACTTTAAACTGGTTAAAGCATAGAGTATGATGCATTTTCAAGACATGATGTTTTATTTTCCAAGGTAAGAAAAAAAAATTAACCTTCCATGGAATCCAGCCTGTTCATTTTCCACTGATTCCACACTTTTCAGGAGAATTTACATGCTATTTAAAGGGTTAAATGTGTTGTGTAATTCCATTTGGCTTTGGCTGAGCACCAGCAGAAGCCCTGCCTCAGCAGTTTAGCCTGCCCAATAAAGCAGCAGGCTTCATACCACTGGGACCGTCCGACAACCACAGTCAGAGACAAGCCCATGCCACTCTGTCCAGCAGCTCGACAGGGAGACATCCCACCACAAACACATCTGTGCGTGCCTGAACAGAAACAAACGCAGCCGTAAACACAAAACCGTCCTATAGTTTTATTGTAACACACAAGATGAGCAAAACCGTGGGATGTGACCATCACCTCAGAGTTCTGGGGTGCTGGGCCCTGACCCAACACCCACACGCAGGAACACAGGAAATGACATTTCCTACGTTTTTGCAGGACACAGGGAAAAACAGAGAGAGGCTGACAGAGACAGTCGGAGGGAAGAGTGAGGGAGAGAGTGGGAGTTGCTAAGTGGGAACAGAGCCTTTGCTGTTTCATATTACAGAGAAAAGAGGAGAAGAGTTAATGGTGGGTAAGGGCTCTGGTGGGTTGTGCAGTCGGGCTCTGTTTTGAGTGTAGCTGCTTGAATAAGTGCTGTGCAGTTGTCTGGGTTTATGGATTCGCTGACTGTGGAAAATGTACTTTTCTATAGTGGTCCTTGTCCTGACTGAGGCTCTGGTCACAGGTAAGCTTGCCTTGTTTACAGCAACCTACACACTAAGGAAGTGAATAAACAGGTTGATGACAAAAACTTAAATATAATAGTAAAGATTGCTGCACACCACTGAGAAAGAGAGGATTTAAGTTTTGTTGTAGAACTTTTCTGGTCTCTGCAAGAAGTGATTTAACTATTACTATACTTTAGGCTGTTCTGTTTTAGCAAAACAACTTGTGTTTTGTTAAGAATTTAAAGATAAAGTTTGTACAAGTGCTTTTTTTCCCCCCATATATTCTCTAAAAACTGACAAAATAAAATTATTTTGATGGGTTTTTTTTCTCCTTATGCTCTGTTGTGCATTGTTACTTTTTAGTTACTTTTTCTGCTTTTGTTGTCGCACTAAATTATGTAGGACAGAAACTGAGGACCCAGGGGGGAGATTATTAAATGACACACATGGGGTGGGGGGGGGGGGGGGGGGAACTGAAATGCACCAGATGGTCCCAGTTATTTTGCATGTATTGGGTTGTACAGCACAGAGGATGAATGCTTCCCACCTGTAGCTTCTCTTTGCATGTCTTCTTTCAAATACTGGCTCCTTTTTGTCTTTTCAACAGATGTGCCTCTAATTTCATCAAAATAAAACTCAGGCATGTTAAACAAAGCAATTTAAGGGAGCTCTTTATAATTTAGTGGGTTTGTTTTTCTGAGACCCCTCATTTTGTAACATAGAAACACATTTTATCAGTGATAGTTTGAACTCCAAAGCCTTAACACATTGCATGTAAACTTAGTCAATACTACAATTAGCTGCAACTGTTGGGAAATAAACGTTAAAATGAACTCTTGAGAGGCATATTATCAACTATGGTTTACAAATTCAACAAAGCTGAGAGGAGTCACGCACGCTGGGACTGTGGGACTTAAGTTTTTGCAGAAGAATGTGTTTTGTGGTTCGTCTTTAACATGTTGTCATAAATCAGTAGACCAAAACATTTGAAACTAAATATCAAACGCAGCATGTCTCACACATGTTAAAACAAGATACACATATTGAATGGGTTTATATAGAAATGAGCTAAATAAAGATTTATTGTAATTTAAAAAGTGAAATGTTAATGTTACTTGTGTTGTGCGCCAACAGAAGTATGCCACACCCTGAACGTGACAGTCACACCTGGGCCTGTTGTCTTAGTAGCAGAGAGAGACAACATGACCTTGTCCTGTCTGGTGTCTCAGAGGAAGAGGAGCAGCAGTGTCCTCATTCTCCGCTGGTTCTTCACCCCTCTCATATCTCCGACTCTCGTGCCTCCATCTTCTGTTCCGCCCACCTCCCCCGCTGCACCCGATCAGTTTCTGATTGTGAGGATGGGGGTAAAGAAGATGAAGCTGTATGGGAACTACACCCGCGGTTTCCCCCAGACAAAGTTTCTTCTGTACGATGAGGCGGGGGGTGAGGCGTACCGGCTGCTCATCTTCAGTGTGACGGGGATGGATCAGGGCTTCTACAGCTGTAGAGTTCAGGAGATCCGAAAACACAAAAACATATGGAGAGCCTCCTCCAATGGTACCAGCACCACACTGCTTACAGGTAAATTACAACAAAAAAAAAAAGATGGTTTCCTCTAAAAGTTGCACATTTTTAAGTCCAAGAATCAATTTTGGATAATAGTAAAATGAATGCTGACAAATGGAGAAACAAAACTTGTATTTATGAATCCACACTTAAGCAAATTAGCTCTGCCTCCCTTTGTGTGCATCATCTGCAGGCCTCCCTGCTTTTCCTCTCATGTAGGAGGAAACCTGGTCTCCTGATCCACCGACCATAACGATCAGCAGCAGCAGAGGTGTATGTTTTTTGTCTACAGTAGAGAAAAAAAAAACTCTTAATGCTTAATATGTAAGACAGGAAGTCCAAACACATAAAGGTTTAAAATTCAGAGAATATTTGACCTGCTCAGTCTTTACAAGACGGGAAGTAGAAACGTCATAGGTGAGTTGGAGACATGCTCAACTTGGCTCTTTGTTAATGAAGACATGGAGAAAAGAAGTGAAAATCAGTGCTCTTGTCTATTTCTGTATTTCTTGCAGGTCAGTTTTTGACCACAACTGGTAACAAACTATATCAGGAGTCACCGGTCAGTAGCCATTTGGTGATGAGGACCATTTCCCATGTTCTAGATTTGCGCCGCTTGGGGTGGCTGCATGTTCGAGCAGCTCTGTTACATTTATTCTGAGTTATTGCTTTTGAAAACTTTAATTCCTCTTTTTTTCTGGATGTAAATCTTTTTTTTTCGGGATGATTATTTCCTCTGGTATCGGACGCTGTGCAGCTGGAAGGATTTTTACTGAAACCTTTTTACTTTTGGGCTTTTGTTATGACGAGTAACCATGGAAACAAGGTGTTTTTTAAACAACCAGGAGCAGATTAACATCTCAAAAGCTCAAATATCTCAGCTACAGCCCCAAATCCCAAATGAGATGAAAAGGAGGCGCCGTGGATGAATTACCATCAACCAGGCGGAGGTTCTCGAGTACCTGACCGCCGAGATCATGGAGCTGGTGGGAAACTTGGCTCATGACAACGGGAGGACCAGGATCACACCCCGACACTTTCAGCTGTCTGTCCGAGGAGCTTTCGGGAAGTCCTGCTGCCAGGAGGACCGAGAGGCCCACCTGATCTGACAGCAAGTTGGATCCAGGTGGACGGATCAGTATCTGTGACCAGATTCTTCGGATTCGCTGCAGGAGACCCTTCCTGCCCACAGCTATGAGCATCTATAACAACTCTTGAATGAAACCAGGATGATGAGCTATGACAACACAATTTCCCTTTGGGTTTAATAAAGTTATTTTTTAATTGCTGAATTTGAATTGAATAGAATTTCTCAGAATATGTTGACAGTGTTGTGAACTCTGATGCTGACACCCCAGAGAAGAAGAGAAGAGAGAATTTGGATGGTTGGAGAATTTTCCTGCATATTTGTAGGTTTCCTTGAGTCTCTGAATCCATATTTGAACATTCTGGTGGTTTTTATTTGTGTGTGTGATGCAGATGTGTACAGATTTGACAAGCATAGCAGTTCAACAGCAAAGCATTTGTAAAATTTGAAACAGACTGTCTATGAACCCAGACATTTTGTACAAAAAACCTTTTAGTTAGCCACCTAAATGCTTCCCATTGAACAACCCAGTTCAACTTTGAGTCACCACAATCTTGGAGACAACACAGGAGGACAAGTTTTTTTAAAAAGAAACAGCACTTCCACCATGCAGCTGTGCTCTGAGGATTTCTGAAAATCTTTGTTACCAGTTGTGGTCAAAAATTAGTGTGAAATAACTAATAAGTACAGTACAAGTGTGAGCGTGATTGTGATTTGTGTCTGTTTTATATTTGATTCAGTGACGCCGTGATGGCCTGTATCCTGCCTCTCGCACAATAATCGCTAGAGATAGACACAAACATTGAGCTTGTACAACATGCTGTCAACGTTTGACCACCTTTGCTGACTCTTTTCCTTTTTGTTTCCTGAAATCTGTTACAAAAATACAAATCAGACAAAATCTGGGACTTTAGAGACATTTATTACAGCTATTTTTGCTGGCTGAAATGAGTTGATTATTTTTCTATCCATCTTCTTTATTTTCTTTTCCATGCAGGGCGCTGGCTCCTATCTCCAGAGGGTACACCCTGGACAAATTACTTATCCAAACTGCTTAACACAGGGCCTCATTGAGACAAACAAGACAGATGACCATTAACAATCTCAACTTGCAATTAGTGACAACTCAAGAGTCACCAACTAATCTGTCATGCATATTTTTGGTGTGTAGGAGAAAACTGGAGAACCTACAGAAAACCCATGCACGCATGTAAACACATGCAAAGATTACAACCAGGGTTAGAAGCTGCATCCTTCTTGTGAGGTGACAATGCTAACCATTGCCCTACTCTACTGCCCATTGATTGCTCAGTCTGCTGCCTTCATACATCTCCTCCTACATTTCATTGTGTGAGTGCAGCTACAGCGTGCGCTCTCAGGACATTATTACCTGCAGTGTTACCTATGTGAGGACTGAACTTGGCAAAAGGGTCTTCTCCTACTCTGCTCCTGTTTCCTGGAATATCTTGCAAAAAGGTCTGAAGCTCTCCACCTTGACCTCTCTAAGTGGCTTTAAACATCTGTTAAGTTCCTGGCAAAAACCAGTGCAGACATGTTCCTGTTTTTAGTTTTCTAAATCACCTTATAATCTAGCTGTTTTTCCGCTACTTTTCCTTTTAATTATTCTTTTAAATACCATTTTATTTTCACTTGTTAAAACAATAAATACATTTGTACACATCCTTTATGATGGTCTGTTGTTGTCTTTATTGTCCACTGTTGTCATCACTCTTGGTTAAAATTCAGGTCTCTCTTGTAAATGAGTCCCCAGGGCTCAATGGGATTAACCTGTATAAATAAAGGTTGAATGATAACTGATACTAGAAATATATACTATTAGAAAAAAATGAACAAAAATAGAACAAACTTAAAATTGTTACAATGTCATGTTCACTGAAAGTAGCCTAAAAGCATATTCATTCATTCAACCTTTATTTATACAGGTTAGTCTCATTGAGCCTAAAGGACTCATTTACAAGAGAGGACTGATTTTAAAAAAGAATGATGACAAAAGTGGACAATCATAAAAGCATATAAATTGAAAAAAATAAATGGAAGAAAATGATGTTAAAAAAAACAAAACAAACAAAAACAGCAATATTGTAAAGCGGTGTAAAAAACTAAAAACATTAACATGTCTGCATTGGTTTTTTTCGTGAACTTAGCAGATGTTGGAATATCGAGATATATATTGTATATCGCGATTTATCTTAAAAGTATTGAAATATTAGTTTTGGTCCATATCGCCCAGCCCTACACTGAAGATGCTTTCTCTACGATAATGTCAGCAGTGTTTCCCTTACTGTGATCCAAGAAGGGTGCCTCGCCCTGTCAACAGAACCGAGCACCCTCCTATACCGAAATGTCCTTCACCCATAACTCCACCCCCCCGTCGACAACTGCTGGCACCTTGGAGTATTATATTTTTCAACTTTTTAATTTCTCAGCTCTAACAATCAGATATTATTTGTCTCCTGTTCACCTTCTTAACATTTGTCATTTAACATATAATCCATATAAAATTTGAATTTTAAACCCTTTCTTACCCAGTATCCTTCACGTCCAAGGACAGTCCACCCATGAGCATGGTGTCCAGTAAATAAAGACAAATGTTCCTTAATTGTAGGATAAAAGTAATAACAGGAAGAAAATAATTAAAATGAAACAATTCAAAATTTTATTTGTTCTTTGCCTTACTTGTAAATGTGATTATGGTCAAAAACTTATTTGTCATAACCATGTGGTATAAAAGCAAAACTATATCTAAACGTTCTGATTTTGCCTGTTTTTGCTCAACATAAGCTACTATTAAGAAAAAAGCTACAAGGATTTCTGGCGTGATTCCTTTGAAAAAAACTTTTTCACAAATAACTTCCTCCTCTTGTAGCCACGTGCATTCAGTGGAGACACACTGTTCAACACTTCTGACAATAAAAAAAGGAAGGGTTCACAGTTTTATATTTCTTTCACCAAAAAGCCAGAAAAACACACACGTTTTTCATGTATTCTGACTCTAGCTGCAATATTATTTGAGCATGAACCCAGTCCTCTGGCATTTCCATCCCAAAACAATGATCTCACACAGTCAACAATATAACTCTATGTAGGAGCAGTGAGGAGGAAAAAATAGTGTTGCTGAGTTGGCAATCTTTAGCTCTTTTAATCATTACATCATTTAAAATTTTATTTTTGCAGGCCTGGCCTCTAGAGGTATTTGGGGTGGGGGAATTGGTTGCAACTTTTTTAGTTTCCACATAAGTCAATAACTTACAAAGTGAGTAGCTGATTTAGACATCATGTGAAAATAGTTATTATTATTATAATCTAACTGGAAAGATAGATCAACGGGAAATTTCAGAGATGTTATCAAGGTCAAGGTCAAGGTTTATTTATTTGTCATTTGCACCTCATGTGGTACATGTGGTGGAACGAAATTGCGTACACAGGGTCCCAGTTACATGTTATGTATTATGCTGTGATTTTGAAGTGCAAAACTTGACATCACTGATCAAACCATACCAAGAAACTTAAAATTTTAGAAGCATAAAAAATTAACACAAAATTGCAACATTTTCTAAAATATTTTCTTAAATGTTGCATTTCATGAAATTGTTTTCTATCGAACAAAGTTCAGTTTCTTTTTTTTTTCTGAGACGTTTCATCCTTCATCCAAAGGACTTCTTCAGTCTGAGGAGTCACAAAACAAACTAGAGTCCCACAAGCACCAACTCCCATAATGGGAAAAAGCAGTTTGCTAATGATAAGAAGGTTTCTGGGGCTTGCCCTCTCCCCCGTTAACTCCTATGAACCAGCCATGCCAAAATGGTTCAAAACAAATGTCTCCTTGGACTGAAGAAGTCCTTTGGATGAAGGACGAAATGTCTCAGAAAAAAAAAAAAAAAAAAAAGAAACCATCCAGATGACCTGACTGAACTTTGTTGGATTTGTACCTGGATTATTGAGCATGAACCTTAGGGGTTTTCAATCCAGATTCAAATTCAAATTCAAAAATACTTTATTAATCCCAAAGGGAAATTTTTTATTGTTGTAACTCGTTATCCTCATTTCATTAAGAGATGTTATAGATACTGGTGGCTGTAGACAGGAAGGATCTCTTGTAAAGGTCCATCCCACAGTGGATCCTAAGAAACTGGCTGCAGATGCCGTTCGATCTGTCCACCCAGACTCGGCTGGCCTCTCGGTTCCCCCGGGTTGTAGGACCGCTTGAATGTTGGGCAGAACTCCTCCCAGAGCGATGGCCACTCCTCCCAGCAGACTGCCGAGCTCCTCATCACTGCGGACAGCCAACTGTAGGCGCAAAGGGACAATCCTGTCCTTCTGCTGTCACGAGCTGTGTTCCCTGCTAGTTCCAGGATCTCAGTGGTCAGGCACTCGAGAACAGCTGGCAGGTAGATGAGAATGCATCCGCAGAACATCATTTTCAACTCATTTGAGATTTGGAACTGTAGTTGAGATATTATTTGAGCTTTTGAGATGTTAATCAGCTGCTGTTGGTTGTAGAAAACTGCCTTGTTGCCATGATTGCACATCATAACAAATGTCCAAAACGAAAAAAGTTTCAGTAAAAATCCTTCCAGATTTACCTCAAACTGTTTTTATTTGTTATGTTTTGCTTCTGTGGCCATGTGTGACCCAGTTACACATTTTACCTTGCACTAGTTTAATGCCTGAAAACCATTGGGGCGTCAGACAGCGCCATATGACTACGCCCTGCCCTATATTCTGCGCCCGTCAAGGAAGCCACACAACCTCAGGCATCTTAGTCATGCACTGACCACAGAGCCAGAAACACAAACTCTGACATTTTGAGGATTAACAAAAAGGAATGAGATGCAATCCAGGGAAGCCCTCATTTTAGTTATTTTTAACACAACTAAGACGGATGAATTTCTTTTATTTATGACTGTATTTGACTTAAAAGAAGATGTGCCATTTTCCACAACTCCAGATCAGATTTTTAATGTTCGAGTGCTTTCTTTGGCCTTTCTTTACTGAAAAATAACATGAAACACTGCTCTTTGCTTCAGGTTTACAACATCATCAGTTATTTTACCTTTTTTTCATGATAATAGCAGATGAGTACACACCTGTTAATCCTGCGCTGTATTTTTTTTTTGCATAAACGTGGCACCACTGTTGCACTGTCGGTATTTTGTAGGCACATCTGTAGAACATATGCGGATCTTAAAGCTCTGACAGCCAACCTGTTGACCTCAGACTGCATGCACGGACCAGATTTGAGGCTCGGCTCATGGTTAACCACAGAGTGAATCTGCTCAGATGTTTGGTTTACTTGCATTAGTCTGAAAGGTAGCTGCTGACTCTGACAAGACGTGCACAAGTGTGGCTGTCATCTGCTCTGCTTGATTTTGTCAGTTTTACATATTGTTCTCTTGGTTTGGGATAGGCACATATTTTAACTACCTTGTTTTTCGGACTATAAGGCACACTTAAAATCCTTTAATTTTCTCAAAAATCAATGGTGCGCCTTATGTATTAATTCTGGTTGTGCTTACAGACCTCAAACTGATTTTATGTGGTGCACGGCGCTCAAAAATGTGTCAAAATGTTTTCATATTGCTTAACGCGCTGTATAATCTGGTGCGCAATACGGTAAAATAAAAGACAGAAAAGTTAAAAAAGAAACTAACCAAATGTGGTTTTGTAACGTATGGATTTTGCATATATACGCCACACAGTATTTTTGCTTTATGATGAGGCACCAAAGTCATTGTGTTGCTTCATCTGTCTCATATTTGTCAGTGTTTACTGGCAGCCGAGTCATTTGGGAATGAGCTTGAAGTCACTTTGAATTTACATCTTTTGGTTCCATTATCTGTGGGTTTGCTTATTCATATCGTTATGGGAGCTGAGACACCAAAGCTTCACCTCCATTTACTCTCAAATTCTTTAAAAAATACCTCTGACTTTGCACTTTCCGTTGTGCTTTAAAGGACATGAAAAACAATGGTGAAGATGATAAACAGAGCAATGGGAACCCCCCAAACTCTGCCCAAGAACAGCAATAAACCAACAGCTTGTGTGTGGTTGTGTCTGTGTCTGCTGTGGGCTAGAATGATTTTCTTGTTGGTTTTTTTGTTGTTGGTGGTGGTTTATATATTTCTAGAAACGTCTGAGGTTGTCTTCCTGTTGGGTCCATCCCCACAGACATCAGCAGTTTACAAATATACTCCAAGAGCCATTTTATATTCTTCATGAGCTGTTCCTCCTGAACTTTATATTTATTTGTTTATTTTTGTCTTTTTTTTTTTTCAACAGTGCATATTCTTTCTGAAGATGATAGCGGTGAAGTATTATCATTTTTATTTGCAGGTATGGTTTTCTTTTCTGGTTCATTTTTTTAAAATTTCAATTGGGACTTAATTTGAGAAGTTAATTTGACACGTCTGTCTGTCTTTCTCAGATGTGTTTCTGTGTGCAGTGCTGATCTGCTCACTGGGCCTTCTGTCCATCTTCCTGTTTACCCTCATCCTAATTTGTCAGTACTTTCACAGATGGCACAGACTCAAAGGTATTCAGATCTTTCTCCAAAACAACTTGCACAACGTATTGTTTTGCAGTGTCACTTGTTAAAATAAACCAGTTCATCAGGACATTTTTTTCTCTTTTGCTTTTTCTCCAGCCAGTTATCTTCTAGTCAAATATCCAGAAAGCAGGTATTATGTTTATTAAAATTCTAATAAAGCATTTCATTTTATTGTTAGCAAGTCTAAAGACAAAATGTGAACTGTCAGTTATGTGAAAAGCTAAAATATTTGTTTCAAATAGACCCTATATTGTAAGGATTTTAGCTTTTTCCTCACTTTAAATTATTAAAAAGTGCTAATTACTGCTAAAAAGCAACCATTGCATTATGCACTATGGATATTTAGATACATTTCTCACACACAAAAAAAGACTATGTGTCATTCATGCAAGGAGGAAACAACCTAAACTTTTAAACCATGCAAGAGTTCAAGAGGTCATAAGAGCAGATGCATGAGTTCTTAATGTGACATGACATCAGGAGGAAAATGACAATTTATAAATTTTAAATTGTAACTGTTGTTTGCATCTTGTGATCTAGCTCAGGAGAGACTGTAACCAGCTCCAGCAGTTGCTCCAGTTCCTCTCCAAGCGCACAAAGGAAAGACACGAAACAGAAAAGCGACAGAAGTCGAACAGAGACGCCACTCAAACCACCCAAACAGCCACTGCCTCACACACCAGCCAAAGGTAAAGGACTTCTATGAGAACTGGACATGGTGTTTTAATTCTTGTGTTAGCTTCAGTCAGCCTTTAATGAGAGGCTACAACCTCAATATGGACACGAGTTAAAAGTATCATAGGGGACTTCTGCATCTATAGATGACTGTGCACTTCCAAAAACTATTGGTCCAGTTCAGGGGTCTGCAATCTTTACAATCGAGTGCCATAGTTGCGCCTTCGTTCACTAAATTAAACGTGTCCAGAGCTGCACAAACATGCTGTGATTATCAAGTGGAGGCTCGTGCGCCGCTTTACGTTTGTTGATGGGGGTTGTGGCCAGTAGCGGCCACATATTACAAAGCTAAAAATATCTAATGATTTTTAACATTTACTGATATCTTTTAAATTTAAAACAAAGAAAACCCCATTATTGTAAAGAAGGAATATATATATATATATTTTTTTTTTCTTTCTTTCTTTTTTTACAAAATATAAAAATAAAAAAAAGAACTATGCAGACTTGCGGTTTTTTAATTGTGGAAAAAATATCAGAGTATAGAAATAAAGCATGAAGTTAAAGTGAGTATGTTTTACTTCTTGTATTAGTTCTAGTATTCACATATTTGCAAAAGAAATTACCAAATTTAAAAAAAATAAAAAACTGAAATATGAAAACTGCTGATAGCTTTTTTTGTTTTTGGTAAAACAACCAATAAAGTCCTGATGCAGGCTCAATAATCCAGGTAGAAAAATCACACATGGTTAAGTCAGGTCAGCTGGACAGATTCTGACTTAACTTTGTAAGAATAACCAATAAAATTCTGTTTTATATGAGATTTGGTCAAAGCTTGAAAGAGCCACTGCAGAGGGACCGAAGAACCGCATGTGGCTCCAGAGCCACAGGTTGCAGACCCCTGTTGGGTCAGAGCTCAGCTGCTCTGCAGCAACAAGTTTCACTTTCCAGCTCAAAAAGTCTTGGTTCAGGTTCTTGTCTCTGTCTGGAGGCTGAGTTTCATGGCAAATTCCACACTCTAGTCGGAGGTATTGTAGAGTCACAGCGGGCTGAGAGAGGCCACCGCTTGAAAAAATGAGTTAGCAGCTGAAGATTATTATGAGAAATGTACAGTATTATATTCAGGTTTCCTGATAAAGAGAAAACAGTCTGATCATGAGAAAAGGTATCTCTTCTAAACAACTCCCTTAATGAGGTTTCTCATAAAATGGTTGAAAAACACAATTTCGAGTTGTTGGTTCAATTCTCGTGGTTGTTGTTTTAAGTCAATTAAGCTTCTTATGTATTTTTTAGTGCCCATTGCTGCAAAGAGACCTCAGAAGCCCAGAAGGTTGAAGACTCAGCAAAGATCTGCCACTGTAAGACTCTTCTCTAAAGCATTTTACCTGCTATATGTCCAAGAGATCATAAAACAAAAGCCCTCAACAGTGATTCATAGGGTGTTTATTTATGTTTTGAAAAGCAGCGTTTGTTTCCTTCTTCAGGAGTAGAGTTGTAATTGAAATACACGCAAGAGGGAATTTGTTTCACGACCGCATGATTGTCTACCAGAGTTTATTGCCATCCCTTCATTCAGTTATGAGCTTGATAATTATATTTAGCATTATTGCTTCTAAAACACAATTATTTATTTAGAGCCATTCATTGGTTTTATGTGTACAATGAAAGTGTCAAACGAGTATACTCTGAAGAAAACTGCACAGACTAAGGAACATCAGTGTTTCTGCTTGTGCCGTTTTTGAGATTTCTGTTGAGGAATGAAGCCATGATGTGTTTTCTTCACATGCACATACGGATTAGATTAGTGCAATTAGGCCGATCTGAGGATGTTGGATACGATTCCTATTGTGCCAAATGTTTTCAAGTAAACTGAATGTTCCAACAGCTCCTGCAAAAACCCAGAGAACAGTTTTTGCAGCAGGGGAAAAGACATGTTGACATGGAAACGTGGAACAAAACTGCTTGACTATATGAAACACTGTAGGATTTTAGAATTTGAAATATGCTTTTGGTGCAGTAGTTTTCAGTTTTAATTCCTAATTCCCTCCTTCCTTTAGCCTCGAGTATTAAAAGAAGAAAGCCTGACGTACGCAGAGCTGGAGTTGGTCCGACCGAGGCAGCAGCCACCAGCCTGCTCCAGCCCTGACGCCACTCCCTCCGTCCCAGACACTGTGTATGCTCAGATCCTCTTCCAGGAAGAAAAGCTATAGTTTTGGGAGCTCGATACCTCCTGGTGAGGGCAAAAATCCAGTTCTCATAACTAAACTAAGCATCATTCAAAGGAACATATATTTATGAACTATGAGTATGACATTATCTTGGTATTTTTTGAGGATGGATGTGGAAAGTCAGCATTTCGGGTGTTTGCTCTGCACAGTTTTAGTTCTGCACAACAGTTTTTGGGGGGTCTTGTGTTTTTGTTTAGTTTATTGTCCTGGGCGCCAGATGTTGAAAGTTCTGCTCTTTTTTTGTTCTCTATAAACCTTGAAAACTTGGCAGAAATAAACTATTGTCCAGACTCGCTCACTGCAGGACACTTTTAAAATACATTTATTATTACTGTATTAATACACCATATCAGTACATTTGTTGTTGGTTTTAATTTTCATTCTTATGATCTTATTAAGGTGGATTGCACTCAAAGCTTTGTTACTGCTAAAGCAACATTTTTGCAGAAAAGGAAGACAACAGTGCCTTCTGTGTTTGAACTTCACAGCAGCAAGCACTGACAAATGACGAACAAAAACTCGCTACTCTGTCAAAGTAAAAAAAAAAAAAGTGTATTTTGTTGTTGGACAAAATGACAACAAATAAATTTTTACCATGAGAATATGGAGTGTCACAGAGCTTCTCATGTTACTCAGGCCAGAAAAGCAAACGCTCATGTGTTCCAGTCCATTTCATGTCAAATCTCTAATAAAATACCATAAAAAAGAGACAGAAACAGCAGAGTCCTCCGCTTGTGATTTCAATATCTGTAACAATGTAACAGCCATAAACAACAAACATAAATCCTGACAGTGTCACACTACATTCAGCGAAAGTGAAGGGTGTAGGCCATTTTGTGAAGGTCACTGTGAAAAATGGGATGAAGATAAAGAGGTGGCTGGAGAAAGAGAACGATGCACATCTACACTCTTCCTCACTGAGTGGGAGAGAACGAGAGAGAGACCATCATCCCCCACAGTTCATACTCACTCATTGGAATGAACTCACTAATGACTACATTTATTCAAATTAGGCTAATTGTAATCATGGTTAATAATTAGCTTTACAGTGCATTATAATTGGGTTAGGCTACAAGATGGTTCTGCCTAGGTGCAATAATTTATTTGATTTAATTATTCTCAGGAACCCAATGATTTGACATCTCGTATCATAAAACCAGCCGTGTAGAGAGAATGGAGATGGCTGTTGTCTTTAGAGAAGGTCATAGCTCGCTCTCTGGGAAAATTATGAGGACTATTTTCCACTCTATTAAGCTACTCCACTTAGCACAATTAGCCACACACACAAAGGTTAAAGAGAGGGACCCCTTCCTTTATGATAGAGAGGAGTGGCGCATGCACATGAGCGGCTCAGCAGGAGTCAGAATACAAGTCGCCACAATGATTTTTGTTCATTAGAATACATAGACGTTATAAAAGTGCTTTAACTCTCTTATAAAAAAAGGTTACGTTTCACAATGACTCTCCACAAAATGAGAGAAATCTAAGCAGGATTCTAATCTGTGGTCAAAACCCCACAGACATCAGCCTAAAAAGGCATATTTGTCTTTGGGTAACCATAAATACAAAAAAAAAAATCTGCATACATCAACAAAACCAACAAAACTTTTTAAATCACTCACATCACATATTCTTAACCACGAATTATGATCCAAAAGAAAAAAGGACTGTTAAATACTTTTAAAAAGCAATCTGGAAAAACATTGTAGAAAACAAAAGCCAGAAAAGATCTGACACAAACATTCAGGGTTCTTCATGCCACAAACATTTAATAAAAGGAAATCAGTGGTGTCTTTGAGGTGTAAAATGCTAACTTTGTGCACTGTTTTCTAGTATAGTAACATGCAGTTCCTGTTGTGTTATGTGTTGGCTAAAGTATTAGCTAGTAATAATTATGTACAGAAAAATACACTATTGCATTTATGCTCTTGCTCAGTATTAACACAATTTCTGTCCCTTTCAGTTTAAAGCTGCCAAATTCATTTGTACTCTTCCATTATGAATCTTGGTTAGCTCTACGGTAACTGCAACACTTAATTAATTTTTAACAACTTGTTGAAATTCATTCAGCCGGACCATAACTAGTCAGTGTTTCACTTTAACATACTCCAGCTGCATGAAATAAACTACAAAACCAATTTGTTTCTTTTTTTTAAAGTGGAACACAGAAGAATCCGAGTGAGTGTATGTTTGCAATTTTATCCTAAATTAAAAATTCAACATTTACACACAAAAATAGAGACAATTTTAAACAACAGCTAAATGTTCCACTGAATCTGAAATTTGATTCTGCTGTAGATTCATTATCTGCAAATATTGAAAATAGTGAAGCAGCTTTTTCTTTTTCTGATGTCAGACCTGAGACATACTTTTTTTTTTCATCCTGCCATTCTCTCAAAGCAGAATATAGAGAGGCAAGGCTGTTGTTACACCTGACCACATTTCATTCACAGGTCCAAGTGAAAACTCTACCCCAGGCATCGCCAGCCAACAGAGTTGCATGAGTCCTGCAAAGACAATAAAAATATTCTGGTGTGAAACATGCAGTAATATAAATAAAATAAAAGAATAGAATAGAAACAGCATTTATTGTCCCACAGAGGAGAAATTTAAGTGTAACAGCAGCAACAAATACACAAATTCAGACAAAAGTCCTTAAAATGTTAATACAGTAGTCCTTCGCTACTTGACGGTTCATTTATCACGGACTCGCTCTATTGCGGTTTTTCAAAATAAGATGGGACGCGACACACAGTTGGCTGATTAATGGATGAGTCGCACGATCGGCATGGAATTTTTATTTAAAAAAAAATATTTTAAATCATTTAGCACTTGCTGCAACTTTGTGCAGCCCAGAGCTGCAGAAAAAGCTTCCTTCTGCACCTTTGTGCAGCCCACACTGCAGGATAAACTTCCTGCTGCAGCTGATCAGCTGTTTTCCATGCAGAGTGGAGAAGTGGGCGTGGCCAAGAACACTTGCAGGTGGCAAAAAGCAGCGGAGGCAGGGAGCTGAAATCATGACATTCTGTGCTCTTTAAGAGAGTTTAGAAACATAGTTTAGAACCTTGCAAGAGTGTGGGAAGGGTTTAAAACGCCTTTATATATATATAAAGGCGTATATATATATATATATATATATATATATATATATATATATATATATACTAAAATAATACTTGTATCCTACTACTATTCCTACTTTGTGGTTTTCACTTATCGCGGGGCTTCAGGGTATGGATCCTCCGAGATAAACGAGGGACTACTGTACTAAATAAGATTATAATAGAACATACTGTGCAGTAAAATGCAATGAATGTGAGTCTGATGAGATTCTATTAAGAATTTTATTAAAATTCAATTAGATCCTTAACTACAACGCATTAGCATTAAAATACAAAAAATAAAATTAACTCAAATTAAATATAGTTTCAACTAATTAATATGACTAAACTGATTTACTGTTGCTGAGAGAGTGATATATGCTGTACCTGGACATGCCCAGAGAGGTGATGGCTGGACTGGTTTTGTAGCGGCGATGTGGCGTGTTCTGGCCTCTGCTCAGCTCTTGACATAACATCAGCTGTCTCCTCCAGCGTTTCCCCTGACACGAGCTGCTCACTGTGGGAGAACATGCGCTTACTACAAGACAACAAGTAAGTTTTACTTTGTGAAACCTGATGGTCCTCCTGTAGTTATACTGCACATTAACACAGTGTCCATCTGCAGTCAGCGAGCAGTAAAAAAGGAGAGAAAACCCCCTCAAATATAAATGCTTCAGGGTTATGTAAAGACTTGTCTCAATGTAATTGGAAAGCATAATACTCCTATGAGGTGACGTGAGGCTGTAACCAACGTATGCTAAATTGGATCTGGGTATTATTGCTTTCTAAATTATACAAACACACACACACTCGTGCACATACACACGTCAGCAGAATTATTCATCAGTGTTTACTGCCTCTATGCTTAATAACTTTATAACAACATAATTCCTGCTAGCTCTAATGCTAGTGAGCGATAGGGCGAGCATTACACACCCTCATTTGAGATGGACACTGCCCCGCTCTGAGATAAGAGTTTAAAAATGATCATTGTACAGGTAAAAAATTATCTAATTAAATAGAAGTGTTTTTTATATTAAATTTAAAGACTGGGTCTTCTTTCACAAATGCTTCCCAGCTGGTTTTAAAGTTTTGTTTTGTCAGCCCCTCTGCACTATCTGTGTTGTTATAAATACAATATCTATGTACATATCTTATCTTACTGTCAGTAATATTACCGTCTCTCTGTATTCGGTCTTGCCCTGGGGACACAGGCTCTTCTGGAGGGCCAGGTAATTGTGTTCTGGTGTACTCTGTCCTCCATATCTGTATGAGAGACACATAACGAGTGGCAAAATTATAGACATAATTCAACATAATAACAAGCACACTCACATCTGCACACACCCACCACGCACACTATCAGTGTAATAATAAAGTACCAATAGCACGTGTGTGTTGTCCATGTGGCATGGACACCCACTCCCAAGTGAAGCACAATTTAGAGTTTGCAGCTTTGATTGCAAAGAGGCAGCATATGCTTATATTAATCCTGAACAAAAACAGTCAAATAAAACACACACACACATGCTACTCATATCCTTATTAATATCTTCAATGGACAGTCAACCTGTGAAGCTAATACAAAAGTAATGACTACCATAGTGGAATACTGTACTGTCTAAAAACTGTGCAAAAAGCATCCTAATTACTGCATAGCTGCATACACAGAACTCACCCGTATAAAACCATCAGCACAGCCAGTGACAATAACATTCCTGGCATCCCACTCATGTCGCTGTGTGAAGCTGACACACAGGATGCCTGCCTCGGGCCCGCAGGAAGTATCAGTACAAGTCAACAGCTGACCCTTCATAGTCCACAGGTACAGCAGAGGTCCTGCACATGAAGCAATCTCACCCTAGGACAGAGTAACAAAGTGTTAACATTGAAATGTGCACAAATACCGTAATTTCTCGACTATTGAGCGCACCAGAATATAAGCCGCGACCACTAAATAAATTTAAAAATTCAATTTTGTACATATTGTATATAGGCCATGCTTGTCTATAAGCCGCACAACAGAAGATAATTACGCAAAGATTTAAAAAAACTTTTAATTAAATATGTACCGGTAACATACACAAATACGTACAGTAAAAGTTTTGTCTGAACAGTGCCTGTAACGAGGCCGGTTAAAAATAAGTAAATACAGTAGCCTAGCAGGAAACACCTAGCTTACGTGCAGCAGTTCTATTTCCTTCGACAGCCAGATCGATCGCCTTTAACTTGAAAGCTGCATCATCTGCATTTTTTAGTGTGTTTTCCATGAGGAGGAGTGTGTTCATCAAGTGCAAAAAAACTGACGTGAAGAATTTAGTGAGAGTGCGCTTCATTTACGGTAATTCGAAGTATCATTGGTCCACTGTGACCTGTTTGGTAATTTCATTGGTCAAATTTTATAGTTTACCTTTATTTATACAGGTAGTCTCATTGAGTCATGAGGACACACCCCCTCAAGAAAGATGTGTATTGGGCAGCTATGTGAGCGCCTGGGTGTGACAAAGCTAAATGTTTTGGTGGCAAGAAGCTCGTTAGCGCGTCAAAAAAAAAAATCATAAATTAGCTGCAGCATTATATAAACCGCGGGGTTCAAAGTGTGAGAAAAAAGTAGCAGCTTATAGTCCGGTAATTAAGGTGCATACACACAGGCATGCACAAAACAAGCAGGCAAAGAGGATGCGGATGCTGTGAGAATCCTCCCTTCCACGTACATGAGCTGAGTGAAGGAGAAGAACATGACAACAGAAAGCTAAAAGTTTAAAAGGAAATAGAGGCTAACTTACAGTGAGCTCATTGATAGACAGGGCAGAAATGCTGGTTTTGTGTCCTGTTAACTGAGTGACGTAACTTAGCTCCTCCAAATCCCACAAGATGCACGTGAGGTCACGAGAGCCACTCGCAATAAAGCTGTGGACTTTGGACACAGCCAGGCATGTCACTGTGTCTGTGTGGCCATACAACGGCTGCGGAAAACAGCAGAATCATCGTCAGAAAGTGTGTATACGTGTGTGCTTATTCAAATACCCCCAAGGTACAGTCACATTCAAACTGACCTGTCTGAGTTTCATGTGAGAGAGCTTGTCTTTGCTGACTGCTACGTCCCACACACAAACGACAGTGCTGGTTCCCGCAGTGATGACAGTAGAAGGGTTGGGGCAAGCGGCACACAAAGTCTCACCCCAGTCACACAAAGTCTCACTCACTGCAATGTTCTGGTGATGAACACACACAACTGGTATGAATATACAACAATATATTGGTTATACATGTCAGATTTATTATATTTTATTATTATTATTTAGACATCGTGTGAAATCTAGACCAGTAAGGAACCTTCTGTTTGCTGCATAACATTAAATGCAAAAATAAAAAAAGATTTGTTTTGTTTTTATCCTATTCTCTGAGACAAATTTGGTCTTAAAGTGTCAAAACAGACAGAAAGCTTTCAAAGCCAGGTTTAAATATCACTGACTGAAACAATATAAAGTATCTTTAATCAGATCATAAAATGTACTTACAATTAATAAGAAACTGCATCAAAATATTTTTAACTTGTCTTAAAATATTGCTGTATAATTTTTAAATTAAATCAATTTCACAGTTTCATTGCTGATAGGATAAAACTAAAATATTGTCAATAAAATGTAAATTAATAATTTGTAAGACCTAAAGCTACTGGCAATAAGTTTCACAGAGATAAAATATTTGTTTTGCTCATAAAGAAAAGAATGGAAATCTCAAATATGGAAAATCTAAACCATTAAAATTATTGTTAGTTTATAAAATGTTGGACCTAACACAATAGTGTGTGTTTGGCAGGACTTAATGATTGTACCAGGATCCTAAATTTTATGATGGAAAACGTAAAATTAGCTTTTTTTAAACTTTACTTTAAAAAAATAATAATATTTCATGTTGAACCTTTTATTTTTATCCCACTTAAGACAAAGGCCACTTAGCCTTTGTCTTAATTTAATTAAATTTATACAACTTGTGCCTTTATTGTGACTCATATTACCACTAACATGTGCATACCTTTTTTGTGGAATAGTTTCCAAAGGTACAGCTGTTGTCTGGGAATCCCCAGCTGAAGAAGATGCCAAACTGTGGTGACATGAGCAGCCGGTTTTTCTCCAGGACTACAACTTCTTTTTCCAGACACACTATCTGACCGACCGGGCCTCTTGGCAGCTCTGCAGTAAAATAATAGGAGGCACCACCAGTGATTAAAAAAAATGATTTGAAATAAAGTATGCCATAAAAACAGTAAGTACACAAAAAAGGGTTATAGAGTAAAAAAAAAAAAAGGTGACCTCATTCTGCATATTTGTGTGCTTCAATAAACTTGTCAGGCCAAATAAAGATAATAGCTCTTCAAAAGCATCACATTAAAGCGTCTGGTAGCTCAGTAAACTTGTGAATGTTTTTTATTAAACTGACCAGAGAAAACTGGGCAATTAAAACAGCTTTTCCCAGGTTATAAGAAGCGAGGGTTTGTCCTGGGGGGGCATCTGCATCCTAGACAGTATAAATGTGAACGTATGTGGGTGAGAAAATGTACAAGAGGCAGTAATTGTGCCTGTAATTGACCTATTCATGCAGGAACAGGCAGAAATCATTAGATCATTTTGCCAGATCTGCTTCTAAAATCCCCAGAAAGAAGCTCTGTCTGCATTAGACCTAACGTTCCTCCTCCTATTCATCTCTATCTCCTTATTGATCAGATCAGACACTCAAAGATTTAATATGAAATGTAATATGCAGGAATCTCTCCCTAAGCATTCACAGATTCATCTCCTCTCCCTCAGTGGGCCTGTAGGGATATTCCGATTATTAAGTAGAGCTCAGCTGAAGACTCATCTCCATATTGTAGCTCTAACAGATAGCTCTTTCTACCTTTCTGTAGCATAAATTAATCTATGGAAAATTTCACTACGTTTCAATGATTCCCTTGAGAT